TCTATCTATCTATCTATCTATCTATCTATCTATTTCAGTTTGTTCCTCTATACCCATTTCAGTTTGTTCATATCTATCTATCTATCTATCTATCTATCTATCTATCTATCTATCTATCTATTTCAGTTTGTTCCTATATACCCATTTCAGTTTCTTTATATCTATCTATCTATCTATCTATCTATCTATCTATCTATCTATCTATCTCTGCCTTTCCTTATCATTCGTTTTTTTTGTATTTCCCTCTTTCTATTTCTCTTTTCTATTATTCTTCTGTTCATCCAATCGCTCATTTCTTTTCTTTCAACGTCTCTCTGTTTATTTCTTTTGCCTTATAAACAAATTCGTGCGCACAAAAATGCGCACCTGCCTCCATCTGTATATATGCATGTTTGTGCTGGCAGATATCGACAATTTTTTCAGTCTCTTTTCTAAAGTGAATGTCCGTATCTTCACATAAATGTCCAAATTTGAGATATTTTTTCCTGTCGGAGTTAATTTGTTTGTGTCCCCGATAAAAAAAATATTCAACGAGAAATTTCTTTTTGACGCCTTTTCCTGCTCTTTTTATTTTTAAAGACTTTTTTCCCGAAAGAAAATCATCTGAATCATCATAAAATACTAGGTTTTCTTCAGTAGAAAAAAATGGCTTTACCCGAAGTGTATTTTAACTGGATGGGAATAAATCCAATAGAATGAATAAGGAAAACATTTCCAAATTGTTGCTTTGTTTTAGTGAATGGACACGAAGTCTTCTTTCTTTTAGAATGTATCTGGTAAAGGACTTCACTTTAGAGAAACACAATGAAGAACAATTAAATGGGAAATTGGCTTTGTAAATGGCTAACAGGTAACAAGTTCTTGCAGCGTTGCAGATGCGTTTTATTTTGCTGGGGGGACGTGTGACACTGCAGCAAAGTTACAACATTCCGACCTCTGTAATCCGGCACTCTTGGGTCTAGGCGACTGCCGGACCACAGGAAAGCTGGATGACAGAAATCACCACTAAAAACAGTTTTGTCAACTCATTCCACACACACACACACACACACACACACACACACACACACATACATATATGGGTTTCACGCTTTAGCGATCGTCAGACAAACTGATTAATGTTTTAAAAAATTGGGGTTTATGTAGATTGCGTGTATTGGTGTTATTGTGGAAGTGGTGGGGGAAATTTCGTCGTTTTGTCATTCATCGTACTAACGCAAACATCGATGTATGCAGACACATTTACATACTTGGTCGTCCGTCGGGACTCATACATATATATATCAACATATGTAGACAGTTTCGGCTATGACACATGTATGTATACGGGTGGTGTTATGTCTATACATACGCATTTGTATGTTGAAATGTTGAAATTTAAACATTGGAAGTGTGGCGGAAATGTCTCGTTATTGTCTCGTGAATGTATCCATGTCATATTATGAAATTTTTTTTTTTTTTCACAAACTCACATCTATCCAACCAAATATGTTAGCTCTATCTCTGATATTGAGCGCTTTCTAATAAGTACTGCGCATATAATATATAAATAATTATACATATATATATTTATTTATATTTATATACACTTTTCACATATATATATATATATATATATATATATATATATATATATATATATATATATATATATATATAATAGAAAGAACAGTAAGATATATAATCCGGTGTTCTTATTGATATTTTTATTTTTACAAAATAGTGCCCAATGTAAATTTACAGAGTATTAATATTATAAATTAACTGGTTTAAAATAGGTTTTTTTTCGCTGCACAGTAATAACCATGTTTCAAAAATGGAAGCTAAAAGCTTCAAATTTAATTTTGTAATTAAATCAAAAACATTAGTTCCATTTCATCCTCAAGTGAATTTTCTGATACAACAAAAGTTAATAAAAATGAACACGCTACCACCCCTTGTCTGAATGATTGGGTCTCTCTGTATCCTTGGAAACAGTTGAATTATAAATTTTCTGTGCCTTTAAAACTCAGTAAAAGTTAAAAAAATAAGTTTCTCCAAAATTCGTATATATATATATATATATATATATATATATATATATATATATATATATATATATATATATATATATATTATCATGCGACTTTTGAAAACCTAATTTTGAAGCTAATTTTAAGAGGTTCGCATCCTACATGGGATATAAAATTAGCGTATGTACTACTGACCCGTTCTACGCCGTTGACCAAACTATATATGCTTACTGTAGTCAAATTAGCTTTGAAATTTGGTCTTCAAGGTCGCATGATACGCAGTATATACGGTGTGTGTGTGTGTATATATATATATATATATATACATACATATATACGTATATATATACATACATATATATATATATATATATATATATATATATATATATATATATATTTTCTGTGTGATGAAAGGTAAAACAAAGCATAAAACTGGAAGTAAAGCAATCATTAATGCTTCCACTAATGCTTTTCGTTGTATCATAATATGAAGTGGCGATACTGTATGTGGCTATAATAAATAACTAACACCGTATCACAAAAACACTCTGCTGCTGTTGGCTGTTGCAGAAATTTGTAAACAACTTCTAGCGTCTCCTTCGTAACCCGCCCAACGAACTAATGGTGGCTGATAAAAAAAAAGTGCCGGACCATGTGGGTTACCGGATCACGGATTGCCGGATTAAAGTGGTCAAACTGTATAACGTTAGTATCAACTATTTTCCTGGTTCCAAACTGATCACTGATCCCCCAACGTTCTCACAACGCTGTGTTAACATTGCAAAGTACCCTAGATTTAAAATACTGGTCAAATAACATCCAAATATTTTTCCTTACTGAACAATATTCATAGAAGTTATAAAATTCCTTTTCTTATTTTTGTAATTTTATAAACACGTAACTGAATTTTTAATCCGGCAATACATCACATGATTGTAAACGCTGTATTTGTTAGGCACACGTGTTTCAATAGACATCGCTCATTCTAGCGTAAAATTCCCTTCCCTGACTGGAAAAAAAGAAATTATGTTTCAATTTCTTTCGCAAGTCATTTCTTTTAATCAATTCACCTCAAGCAAGGCGATAATACCACTAAGGAGGGAAAGAGAATGAAAAGACTTTATAACGAATCGGAAACACAGTCCTAAGCAGGAAACAAGGGATAAACCTCTACCCTATTCAAAAGACTGGAAAGGATTATAAATTGACGATAGGCGAACCTATCTACTCCTGTTTTTCATGTCAAGGTCAGTAGACTTTTAATTCTAAACTATGTTCAAGCAAAGCTTCTTTGCGTTGTTCAAGAGATCAGTGGGAAGCAAATATGTATAAAATAATCAACATACACGGTGCTGTACCTTAAACTTGATTGTATATCAAAGGCATTTCCGCCATCAGCAGTGATCTCAGGAAGAAGTGAGGGAAGAAGCTCATTATACTCAAGTATACACTGTCATTTAACGACTTATCAACACTTACTTGGGTCATTTAATGTTTAATAGGCATTACGTGACAAAAATCATAATTAATAGATAGATAAACACGAGTCCGAATTACACAGTTGAGTCCAAAAAATTAACATACGCCCTGTTTTCATTTGAGTCCAAAAATTAGACGAAGTTTAAACACCTGAGTTCAAATGTAAGATACATGGGCAGTTTACAAAGTTGAGTGAAAAAGGTCTGGTTTATAAAAACGACTTAGGTCCAGTTTGAATTAGAGCCAGAAAAATAGACATCGGTCTAATTTATCCATTTGAGACAAAAACGCTGGCATCTTTCCAGTTTACAAACTTGAAACAAAAACGTAGACATCGGTCCAGTTTAGTCACTTTAAACAAAAATGTAGACATAAGTCCAGTATATATACTTGAGACAAAAACGTAGACATATGTCCGATTTACACACTTCAAACAAAAACGTAGACATCGGCGTAGTTTACAAGCTTGCGACCAAAACGTAGACATCGGCCCAGTTTATAGACTTGAGGCAGAAACGTAGACATCGGCCCAGTTTATAGACTTGAGGCAGAAACGTAGACATCGGTCCAGTTTTCACCTTTGAAGCAAAAACGTAAACATCCGTCCACTTTACACACATCAGAGACAAACGTAGACATAAATTTTGTTTATATTTGAGTCCATTGACAGACATTGACTATCCATATCCGAATCATCAAGCACCCAGCTGGTAGAAAACCCTCTTATTTTTGGTCACCGTAAATGCTACGGTAGTCTTTTGCGGCGAATGCAGTCCGCATATTTAAGGTCCCGCCGACAAGACAAGAAGATACATTAGTGTCATTAAAACAATAACTCTTTATACTTTATTGTTTAAGAAAGGTTAAGATTCAACCGTGTTCATTTATGTCATTCTAAAGTTTGGTATGGCATAAAGATGTTCAAAATAATGAACATATACCTAAATTTTGTTTTTAAACCATTCTTCTTTTTATAATATCATAGTACTTTAAGATCAAGGTCGTTATGATTCTCCACAGAGTCCTTTACATTAATATCTGTGAGTAACCGTGGATTCAAGAGAAAGATACTAGAGGAATGACTACTCGTTGACTTTTTTCACGGTTTTGAATTCAGTGTTTTCCTTCTCCTAGTCTAGCTGCCATACAAGGCTCATGAGCCCAGTCTATTCTATTATTTAATCCATAGTTGGGTGTCGGAATAGAAACAGATTCATGCATTTCCTAAGGGCATTAGAGCATAGTGAAAGCAACAGCCTAGCCTGGGATTTGAAGTCGGCTCGACAAGTCCACTTTCCACGTCGATAGCCGTTATGCTACTCGTACATCCAGAAAGGATTAGAGTTATAAAATGAAGCCAGAGAGAGAGAGAGAGAGAGTGGAAAAGAGAAAGAGTGGGAGAGATAGAGAAATGTAAAAAGAGAGAAAAATAAGATAGAAAGAAAAGAATAGGGAAGAGGTAGTAAAATAAAAGCGAAAGATAAAGAGAAAAAAAGCCAAAGAAAACTATGAAAGAAAGAATGAAAGAGAGAGAGAGATAGAGAGAGAGAGAGGGGGAGAGAGAGGGATTGGGAAATTAGAGAGAGAGAGAGAGAGAGAGAGAGAAAAAAAAAATAAGGAAGCAAAAGTAATCCATGAGAGAATGAAACAGAATTTTAAAGCTTGAGAGAGAAGGTTTCTTGATAATGAGCCTTTGAGTTGAAAGCGAGAAGAGAGAGAGAGAGAGAGAGGAAGTGAGAGAGAAAGAGAGAGAGAGAGAAAGAGAGGGAAGGAGGGAGAGAGACAGAGAGAAAGAGAGGGAAGGAGGGAGAGAATCAAAGAAAAGGCTAATGAATGTGTGACATAGACGGAAAACGACACCAAAGAGAAAGATAGAGTAAGTGATATATACTGGAAGAAAGGAATAGGGTAATGGATGGAAAAGAAGAACAATAGAAAACATTGGAAGGTAAACGCGAAATAGATGTATCTGGACATAGATAAATAGATAGTGAAGAGACTGATAGATAGATAGATAGATAGATAGATATGATCAGGCTGTGATAGATAGATAGATAGATAGATAGTGAAGAGACTGAGATAGATAGACAGATAGATATGATCAGGCTGTGACAGATAGATAGATAGATAGATAGATAGATAGATAGATAGATAGATAGATAGATAGGAACAGGTTGTGATAGATAGATAGATAGGAACAAAATGAGATAGATAGATAGATAGATATGATCAGGCTGTGATAGATAGATAGATAGATAGTGAAGAGACTGATAGATAGATAGATAGATAGATAGATAGATAGATAGATAGATAGATAGATAGATAGATATGATCAGGCTGTGATAGATAGGAACAGGTTGTGATAGATAGATAGATAGGAACAAAATGAGATAGATATATAGATAGATATGATCAGGCTGTGATAGATAGATAGATAGATAGATAGATAGATAGATAGATAGGAACAGGTTGTGATAGATATATAGATAGATAGATAGGAACAAAATGAGATAGATAGATAGATATGAACAGGCTGTGATAGATAGATAGATAAATAGATAGATAGATAGATAGATAGCGAGCTCAAAGGTCTCCTGGGTTGGGTTTTAGCTACGTATCCTCACTCAATTCAAAAGTAATAAACTTGAGAAAGTGTCGAAGTGAGCAAGCGGACCATAATAATGGCGGACTGTTAGGTTGAAAGTGCGCATGCTCAGCGAACCATGTCTTCCGCTAGTAAATCCCTAAGATTGAAGCACAAGCTATGAGCTCGAACGAAGGAGCTCAACTGTAGCCATAAACGGCGCCCCGAGGAATACAT